TTCCACATTTATAAAATTTTAAAAAAAAAAAATTGTTTTTAAAATATATATATATATATATATATATATATATATATATATATATATTTTTTTTTTTTTTTAAATAAAAAAGGCAAAAACGCTTAAAAGCAGTACAGATATTTTTGATTCATTCATTATTCTGAACAAATTTAGTAAGAGACTTTTTTTTTTTCAGTCGTCCTTCAACAAAGCTTAAATGGAAAATATGTGTGAACCCATCTGGAAAATCCTCCTCAGCTCTTTCAATTCCAGGAAGTCCCACCCTCACTGCACTATCCGTCTCCCTCGCTCAAGCCAATTAGCTTGCAGAGGTATAAAGTGTGAGAGTGAGCCGTGTGTCTGTTTTCCACATCGCAGATAACAATCGAGTGTCTGTGTCATGCACTTTTACTGTGACCTCGATGTTGGGCCTTGTCTATTGTGTGGCAGGTGTGCACTTCTCCTGCTAACTGAAGCGACTCAGACTGATTTTGATCTCAAACCTGCATTCACGGCCACTTAAGCCCCAACATCTCTGGCCTTTTTCCGCTCTATGTGAGACTTTCTAAGGCTTTACTCAGAGCTGAGTAACTTTCTAAAGGAAGTCTATTGTCTGTACACGGAGTTGGATAGGAACTAGTTACATTTACTCAGTTATACTTACTTAACTACCTTTTATTTTGTTTTTTTAATGTCTGTTTAGGGGTATATTTGCTACATTGTACTTTTTACTTTTACTTTAGTAACTTTATTATGAAGTATTTTTATTCTTACTTGAGTAAAATTTCTGTATTTTCTACCCACTGAATGAAAAACAAACATGTTTTAACCAAACATCCATCAGACACAGACACACACCTGCAATTTTGGTTAAAGTTTCACACATTTTTTTAGTGAAAAAAACTGATTTGGAGACATCTTTGTTTTGCCTGATTTTATTTTTTGTTACTTGTAACAAAAATACCAAAATTACCACCAAACTTTATATTTTGGTCCACCTCATTTTGTAATTTTTAAATATTAAATGATTGATAATTTGATCCGTTACTCAGTACTCGAGTAGACTTTATACCAAATGTTTTTTTACTCTTACTTGAGTCTTGGACGACTACTTTTTACTTTTACTGGTTTTAAAAATATGTTGAAATAGTGCTTCTCTTAATTAAGTACAGTTTTTGGGGACTCTACCCACCTCTGATTATTCATTTAAATTTGGTGAAATAATAATAAGCGCTTGCAAAGTATTCAGTTTGTTATATGTTATGTGCTAGAAAAATACTTTCTGTTGGTGTAAAACACAAAAACTCAGGGTTTTCTGCAGTAATGTGACAAACATAATTGATATAAATGCTTTTTAAAGCATTTTAAATGTAAACTCAGGCATTTGTGACCATAGAAACTTTTTTACCTTTTTTATTTTTAGTTCCTCTGTTCTGTATGTCCCACAGGGAAAAGGGTCCAGATTAAATCATTTCCTCTTGCATTGTGATATTTCAGAGGTTGGACTGCACTCAGTTTTTGTTTGGCACATTCAGACAGTCTCTCTGTGAAATTAAAGAATTAAATGTAACATCTGAACATAGAAAGAAAAATATCAAAGCTCTTATCTAAGAAAGTATAGATATAGTATATTTCTCGATGCTTAAAATGTCTAAAAAAAACTAAAGTTATGAATCATTTTCAGTTTATCAGTTTATTTTCCCAAAACATTGTAACCAAAAGAGCTGTCTGCAAAACAAGGACACTTAGTTGAATAAAAACCTTTAAATATATGAGAATCAAACACCGTTTTTAAACCCTAAACAGGATTTTGGATGTTTCTCCCAGAATAGTTATCACTGAATTATGGACCTGAATGTATTAATGTACAAATTAATAGCTGTAGAGCGAAAGCGAAAACTGAATAATTGATGGTTCTGATCAGGTTCTCATACAGAGAATATTTTAATTTATATGTTTTTTTCTGGTGCTTGCGTTTCCTCTCATGCTGCCCTGGGCTACCGCCTATCTTATAAAACCCCACTGGGTTCTGTGATTCCACAAAAAATAATTACTTAAAGCAATAAAAAAGGGAATTTTATTATTGAAAAAAAATACAATTGTCCAGCTCTATTAATATATAAAAACATGTTATTTTATTGTAAAATTAAACAATCACAGCTTTGTTTTATTTTCATGTTGAAGAAAAGCATCAAACTTGTACAAAAAGGGCAAAAATATTCTTTCCTATAGAGTCATTTTTAAAAAATAGGAGCAAAAATAATGAGCCCTCCTTAAAAAATAAAGCTCATACATTGGAGGATTAAAATGTAGTGAAACAGGAAAATTTGTCTCTTAACAAAATTAAATTCAATGCATGAATTTCATTAAAATAAATAAAAGAACATTTACAAATAATTACTTCCTTTTTCTTATAAATATGTTTGTTACTAAGAGTCACCCTGATGGGGCCGTTTCTTCAAACTTAGTAACAAAAATGTTTTTATTTTATAGAGCAAATAGAGTAAAATCTTTACAGCTGAGAATGTAAATAATAGAAAAACTGAGCTGCTGCATATTAGTTTGTGTTTGGTAAACAGTAGTCCTTCATTGAACTTTAAAGTTGCTGACAAATTAGTTTTTTTTAAATTAAGCACAAAACAACATGGTGTCAAAGTATTTAAACACAGCCAAAAACATGTATATCTCAGTAGAGCACGATCTGAGTTAAATTATTAAAAAATAAAAATATTTATTTCTAATAGCCTACTACTTTATCATATATGACCAGGATTGTAAAAGAGTGCACCGTCTTTTCATTTTGGGTTTTTAATGGATAAATTAGATTGTTAAAGATAAAGCTGCAGTAAAAAAAAACATTTACAGTTTGCTGTGACATCAATTCGTTGAGATGACATATTTTCTTAGGTCAGTTTTCAGTCTGCCATCCTTCAATCTTCCAATTAATATCAAATTACATAATAAAGAATGATTGTTGTAATGAGGAGTGCTGAAAACATTTGCTGTCATCTGCTCAAACACTATGAGAAACAGTTTTAAAGCAAATGATCTCAGACATTTTATAACTACCTGTAGCTCAGCTAGCTGCGCTGCACTGCTAATGCTAGCTGGTACATAAACAGGAATAAGTAACGTATCTTGATGTTTTTATCCATCTTTATTACAGAGTTTACAACATTTGTATTAGCTTCAACTAGAACAACATCTTCTTTGCTGCTGAGTTTCTGTCTGAATAGCTATATTTTTAAGCTAATGCTAAAGCGTTATTGTTAGCTGGATTTCTCTTGAAATTAAAATCAGATTTCCCTGTAGCTACAGCCAACTACATCCATGTTTCAAACTTGTAGCTGTTGATTTGAAGTTAAAGGAGCTCAAGGTAGGTTAGCTTCTTCTTCATTTATGTGATGCAGTAGCGCCGCTACCAGCTAACCAGGCATGATGCCACCACCACCATGACTGATGTTTCATAGTGGTGTTTGAAAACCTCATAGGACTTTTCTAATTGTTCTTTTTATTATGTATTCATTTGATTAGGACAGTGCACATTAATTAACTTTACCTCGATTTACAGCAATTTAAATATGCAGGAATTAGCACAGCAGCTAAATTTCATCCTTTGAAATGTAGTGGCTGTAATTACAAAAAAAAAACTGATTAAAAACAGTAAAACACAAATGCATAATATTATTGTGATAAAAAAAATCTGTGTTTTGAATCAAACTGTAATCTGACATATTTGCTATCACAGATTTCTGTGCAGAGAAACTAACCTGTATATTAGAAATTCATAAAAAGTGTGATAACAATACACACTGAGACTGAGGTATCCAAATATTAGTGAGAGGTACATTACTGTGTTTCAATCTGTTAAAAATACAAAGTTAATATGGCATTAACTTAAAGGGGTCCTATTATACAAAATTCACTTTTTGCACATTTTTATACTTCCATTTGGGTCACAACTGCTTCTAAAAACAGACATTTGTTTTGGCTGTAAGTTAATGTTAAAAAACGAGTCGTTTTAAAAACCTTACGAATGTTGAGTTACAATCGACGGGAACTGCGCCGTTACCTAGCAACCCCAACGAATCCCAGCTTGTCACCTAGCAACCCAAGCTGAGCTCAGGTTGGTCAGCTGGTTTTGCCACTATATGCGTTGTACAATGGCTGCTGGAAAAGCGTTTTTATTCCTTCATTTGGGTCTCTATTGTTTCCAAAAACAGCTCAAGCAATTAAAAAAACAAAACTGTTTTTTGGCAATAAGTTAATATATTTTGGTGTTTGGAAAATGAGACGTTGCAAAAACCTTCCTAATGTAAAGTCGCAAAATAGAAGCCACTGCCTGTTACCTAGCAACCTCAGTGAAGCCCATGTCGTTACTTAGAAACCCAAATGGTCCAGGACATCTTGGTCAGCTGGTTTTATTGCTGTATGCGCTGTACAATGGCTGCTGAAATAAAACAAGTGTTTTGTTAACGAGTTACTATCCAGAAACCACTTGTTGCCTTTTTGTTGGTTATGCACGAGGCCACACTAATGCTTTTCAAAGCTCTACGGTTGTATAATTGCACATCTTTTTGCAGCCATCTTCACATGTGATTGTAAACGTTGGGTTGGCGGATCTGACCAAACTAAAATCTCATTATCTAAGAATGATTTTAGCAAAAAAAAAAAAAATGTAGTGAACAAGTTTAGACCAATCTTAACCTGTTCATTGAAGCATAATAGGTGACCTTCCAACGTATCTCAGTGTCATGACATATTTACATTCTCGTATTCCCCATGGTCTGAGTCCTCCAGCTCAATGCCCGGCACAAGGCTGTAGTACTCAGTGGACTGAGTCAGGTAGGCCTTCTCCCTGTCTGCCGAGTCTTTCATCACTTCTGTCACGCTGACCGTGTCCAGCTCCGTCTTGCTGGCCCCATCGGGCTCCTGGGGGCCCTCCCTCCCCTCTGAGGAGCCGGGAAGAGACTCTGCTGAGCTCAGCTTGATCTCCACCTCCTCGTAGATGTCCCTGGTGCTGCCTAGGAGACCCGAAGCCGGGCGGAGCAGCAGCTGGTTCTTCAGGATCACCTCCTTCCCGCAGTCGGCAGCTCTGCTCGGCTCGACGCCTGGATCCTGCTGCTTGGCGTGGTGTTTGCGGTTGCTGCAGCCAAAGTTGGGGGGCCTCTTTTTGGAGGAGCTGAAAGTGAGCGTTTCCTTTTTCTTCCTCTTCCTCCCACAGCACCAGCAGAGCAGCAAGGCAGAGAGGATGAGGAGAGGCAGGACGATGAAGAGCGCCGTAAGGCCGGCCAGGTGACAGACGTCGCTGATGCTTACCGACCACACCGTTCTGCCGGCGAGGTGTGGAGGAAAGAAGCAGGTCAGGTTCCCCACGAGGTCCTCCAGCCGGTCCGTCCTGTTGGCCTGGCTGCCGGCCTCCAACCCTTCCAGGAACAAACAGGAGCATTCCCACTGGTTCCCATCCAGCCCCAGTTTATGAAGACTGGGAATCTGGAATAAATCACCAGGGAGAGAGCGCAGCTGGTTCCCCTGCAGGTCAAGGCTCTGGAGGCGATCAGAGTCCTGAAGGAAGCCTTTGGGAATCTCCTGGAGTTGGTTCTGACTCAGGTCCAGCTCAGTCAGACTGGGCTGGCCTGCCAGGAAGTGCTCTGGCAACTCTCTCAGTTTGTTGCCATTTAGGAAAACTCTCCGCAGTGAAGAAGCTTGCTTTCCGCTGACGTTAATAAGGCTGATGTTGCAGTTGGAGAGATCTAGAGTCTGTACGTTGGTGCCGTTGGTAAACACAGACCAGTGCACCTCACTGAAGGCAGAACCAGAGAAGTTCAAGCAGTAGGTATTAGCGGGAACCTCAGAGGGAAACTGGGACAAGATGGCAGCTGCTGGACAACTGGATCCATGAACTGGACTGGTCTTCAACAGCAAAGCCAGCATCAGGAGATCCCAGCGGAGAACCATCTCTGCAACAAAAATCACAGGGAAAATGAATTCATCAGCTCCTCCTGCAAAAACCACACCAGCTATTTTGGGTCTAGTTTCTAGTGCAAATATCTTAGTACTATTGATGCTAGCTAGATGTCAGTTGAAGTTGCAGTATGTAACTTTAATTATTTGTTAAAACTGTCAGCATGTCGTGACAGTATATAATCTGTATAAAGGTTGATCTCCTCCACCTCCTCCCTGAGCTACTATTCCCATCTGAAGAAATGTAACACTCCTGCTCAAAAACAACCAATCAGAGCCAGGAGGAGGATCTTAATGCTGTCAATCAATGCTGCTCAATGTGCAATGGCTGACAAACAACTTAGAGTTGCAGGAAAACCATTATTCCACAGTCAGCTGTGGCCATGCTAACTAGTGTTAGCATACATGGTGAGCCAGCTGTAGCTTAACAGAAACCAAGGAGCCAGAGTGCAAGGGTGATTGACAGCGCTAAGACCCTCCTCCTAGCTCTGAGTGGTTGTTTCTGATTGTACTTCTGCATTTAGTACTGGGAGCACTTAGAGAAGGTAAAGAGAACATTTTTTGTTTTTTTTTTAAATACTGGGCTCATTGGGAGAATTTGAGAAATAAGTATTAGGATCCAACTAGTGCAACAATAATGGATGCAAGCTGCCGTTACAATCTAAAGAAGAAAGCAGAGGAGCTTGATTTTTTTTATGTCATGACATAATTATCAATTTAGCAAATATGTAAGAACAAAATAATTTTTTAAAGTTACAGCTTTTACTAATTGCTAATATTACTAATTCAACTTTAATATTGTATTAGATTAAAATTAGTTCCAAAAGACTAATAACAGCCGCTTAGACCTTTTTTTCATTGTTGTAGTTTGGCCTCCACTCAACAGAGGGCGCCGCTGGTCATCCTTAAGCGGAGCCAGTTTTAAGAAAAACAAAGATGGCGGAGTGCTTGCCAAAGAAGGAAGAAACTGTCCAAACATAGTTTGGTGAGGGACGCAAAATGCTTTTTATTCGGTTCTGTTTACAAATTTAACAGCCGTTTCTGTCCAGTTCATCGACACGGAGTGACAAGTGAAGTCTGCCGTCCTGAACAAATCTCTGTTCATGTAAGTGTTACACATATTTTAATATTTCTTTATCTATTCAGAAGCCTGACAGCTTCCCGCTTTGTTATATCTCATAAATATGTCAAATCTCTTGCAACAGAGAAAACATATTTTCTCTCTTTTAAAGGAAATTGGCCGCTTATCAATCATTAGTCCATCAACAAAAATCAATCAACGTGAGATTAACTTATTAATTGATAACTTGCATCCAAACTTACTATTCTCGAACTCTGAAGTAAGTTTTCAGCAAGATATAGGAGCTTGTTTTAAATGAATTATTCCCTAATTTTGATTAAAAGGTACAAGTTTCATTCATATAATCTGCCAGTGAAACCAATACTTTTAAAAATTAATATTAAGGAATTATTGACTTAAAACAATCTCCTATATTTTACTAAAAAGTTACTTCAGAGTTAGTTTTGTCTTATTTCAAGGGTATTAGGATATTTGCAAAAGAAACTAGACCAGAAATAAGTTATTGGTAATAATTGGTAAGTTATTGTGTTTTTGCAGTGTTTTATCCTTCTGCTTACTCCTCCAGTCTACTTTCCTCCCGTCGTTCCGCAGACCAAGATGGCGGCTGATATGCTGGTAGACTCAGCAGCTTCTCTGAGGACTCCTGTTTGCTTTGAGGGTTGTAAAAGTTGGCATGGCGACTGGGATCACTGGGGAGCGGCTGCAGGAGAGGAAACAGATGCTCGGGTGAAGGTTTCACTGGTAGATGGGAACTATATCAACAACACAGTTAGTTCAACTGCCCTGTCTTGGCAGTTTTTACTTTTAAGATGAGAGGTTCTTAAGACACCTAAGCTTGCTTTAAATGTACAAATTCAAACTTTGTACGTTTTGTGCTTCCATTTCTACTGCTTCTAAAAACAGAAAAAAAAAACACCCTGGTGTTTTTTGGTGTCTGGAAAATGAGCGCTTTCAAAAACCAGCAGAATGTAACATCACAAATCAGCAGGGACTGCTTTGTTACCTAGCAACCTCAGTGAAGCCCAGCCCGTCACCTAGCAACCCACGCTGAGCTCCACGGCATCAGCTGGTTTTACCGCTGTACAATGGCTGCTGGACAAGACAGGTGTTTTGTTGTTGACTTGCCATCCAGAAATGGCTTGCTGTATTATTGTTGGTTGTGCAGAAGGCTATACTTCTGCTTTTCCAAGATATATATTGATATATTTGTGCATCTGTTTACAAACATTTTCACATCCTATTTTCACTGCCTGCATTCATGAAGCCTCTTTTTCAACTCCAACATTATTTTAGCTTGAGATACTAAGTAGCTGTTTCAATAAAAACAACATCTTGTCAGTACAAAATGTGGACAGAAGTCTTAAAAACGAATGAAAGAGAGCTACGCTGCCACTGGCATAGCTCTCTTTGTGCTAACTGTCTTCTAGTTTCTTTACTGATGTTTTAAAAACAAACAAACAAACCGTTAAACAATGGCTAACAAAATCTTTGTCCTTAAGTCACTTTAATGTCTATTTTTGTATTTATTTTAGCTTCTTTCTGCTGAACTAGTTTCTGTGTAGAAATACAGTGCATGAAGACAGATTAGCATAGCTCAACCTCTGCCTTTTTGTCTGCTAACTCAAGCTCTAATCTCTCTAACATTCAGATACTTTTTTCTTCGGCTGATAAATCACATGTTTGCCGGGTCGGCCGGTTCAGCTTGCATGTCAGCCACAGCTGGACCAATTAGTCCCAGACTCCCTGCAGATGTAGTCAGCAAATAATTAATAGGAGATTGCAGCAAGAAACGTCAATTTAGGTTTTTTCAGCAACAGTCTGAAAGCACGTAAAGTTTTTCTACAAAGACCTTCACTTCCTGCCTTTGTTAAAGAGCCTCGCTGAACCTGCTGATATTCTCAGAAGCGGCCTATTTTTGCCATTTTTATGTGGCATCTCTTGGCTTTGCATTGAATTAAGAAAGTAAAGGTCAGATTGTGGGAAACTGAAAAACTTTACAGCGGTTCTACATCAAAGTTTTGCTTTCTTCAGCAACATGACTGACCTTTAGAGATAAAAGTAACAAAAAACATGCCATTCTTTGTTTACCGATAACTTTAGCCATTATCTTTATCTGTAAGGCCTTACAGATAAAGGAAAAGCTCAGTGAAAATTACATGACCTTAAACAACGGGTAAAGATATTATTTAGATGTTTATTTATCTTCAAAGATTCCCACTGGCTCCTGCAGCAAGTTTAACTCAACTCAAATTAAATTCAAAAGTAGTTGTTGTAACTGAAATTATTCAAGATCCTTCAAAGAGTTGTTGTGGATGGTGATGGCTGGGGGTGGAAAGCATCTCCTGTAGCAGTCTGGATTACAGCGAATTTGAAGAAGCCTCTGACTGAAGACCTGATGTTATTATAAATGCAGTAATTCCAGCTTTAGTTTGGGAATATTGGGGTCTACTTCTGACTCCTCTTTTCTGGTCTGCAAGTTCTAAAAATGCTAATTTTTGCAGGAACAATTGATCTCTATGTTAACTTTTTTATAATTGAAAGTTCTTTCTAAAGAAGCACATTGCAAAAACGCAAAATCTTACCAGATATTTTTGGTCTAATTTTTAGTGAAAAATTATCTTACTACATTTGAAATTAGACAAAACTAATTTATAAGTAACTTTTCAGCATTAAATATTAGCTTGTTTTAAGTAAATAATTTCTTAATATTATGAAAAAGGACTAGTTCAGGGACAAATTATTTAACTTATTTCCATTTTTTCATGTTATAAATCAAATAATCTGCCAGTGGAAGTTATTTAACTTTGAAATTTTAAAATTTTGCTTTGAATTATACTTTTCTATCAATATTATGTTCGATTAGGGTCCCCAAGAGCAGATATATATATATATATATATGATTAATTTTTCTCAGTTTGCTGCTACTTCAAGGTTAAAATTAATTACCATCATGTTTGTACAATGTAAGCTAATTAGAAATGATGCTAATGGTAGCATAATTAGCATAGCTTCTGCTATCATTCAGCACTTGGATTTGCTCAGGAATGATGAAGCATTTATTGTTGACATGTTGTTATATGGGGGCCCCAAGTGAAAATCTGCTCAGGGTCCCAAAAAGGTTTTGACCGGCCCTGTTGTTCCTCCTCCTTCATGCTGTCTGACAGGTTCTATTTCAGGGGTTTCTTAATTCTGCAGGTCAGGACGTTTTCAGGCCTGAGTTGGTGAGTAAAACTGAAAAAGTAGAGCTGATCCCCTGTGATTAATTCTTAAAGAAACAGAATCGTCTTGGTCATTATTTGAGAAACTGAATGTTCTCTGTGTTCAGTTACAGGAGGCCGTCTTGCATCATCACTGCTCAAACAAACAGCCTTTCCTGCTTCCTGTTTGCTTCACACATGAGTTATTCAGGGTGGCAGGTCTTGTTTATGTTCCCCACAGTCAGGCTGAGGCAGCCCCGCTCTGCACCTCGGGTCACCAGTAATTAGCTTATTTATGTCTCCAAATCATCGGCTTCTGCCAACTGTTTTCATCCGACTGTCTCCCAAAGCAGAAGTAACATTTAAGGTGACAGGAAATGGGTGTAATCATGTTATTTATTTGTGTTATTCTTTTCATTTTGGTGTTAAAAATACCACAGTTTGAACCTAAATTTATATTTTCGTCAATCTGATGTCATTTGAAAATATTAAATCAGATTTTGTGACTATATGGAAGAGGTGACTTTAGTCCCTGAATTTAAACTTTTTTTCAGAATTGTGACTTGGACTTCAAAATTCAGACTTGACTTTTTTTCCTCAAAATGCAAACATTAATCTAAGAAATCTGACTATAAGCTCAGAGTTTTGACTTTAATCTCAAAATTCAGACTCTAGTGTAAGAATTAAGATTTTTTTCCTCAGAATTCTGACTTTAATTTCTAATTATAATTTTTTCCCCTCTCAGAATCAAAATTGTTGAAATTGTCTATGCACTGTCAGACAAATGTAGTCCTAAAACTCAATACACTTATATTTGGTAGATTAGAGATATATATAAATATAACGTGGTGCTTAGGCAGGATGCAGTAAATCAATTATCTGCATAATCATTTAAAGCTCAATAATTCCCATTTGCATGATTTATGGACTTTCTCTCTCTACCAAAAACTGAATGATAAAAGTCTGCTCTTTTTAAAGATAATTTTGTTTACAGAGGCTTTGAAATAAATTTTATTGGTTCTTTCTTTTGTTTTATTTATTTTGGATATTTAAAATGTTTTCCTGTTCCAGTCTTGGTCTTTGAGAATGCGTTTACCATTATTCTACTTGGAAATGGTCTCAAAACAACAATTTATCCTGCTCCTTCTGGGACTTTTACCATGAGTTTCATTACAGGTTGAGATTCAGTTTGGGGTTTTTTTGGAGTTTGGTGGGTTTTACTTTCTGTCAGTCAGACCTGGCAACCCTGGAAAAGGAGAGACCAGCAGCAGATCATCATCAACCAATGATTACTACTTACTCCATCCTCCTCCCACTGTGTTTGTAACTGGATGAACTTTTACCTGCTTTTATTCAAATTCAGCACCGCTCTGATCCATTTCCTCTGTGGTTATTTGCACGCTGTTAGGTTTTATTTTCAGCTGATTACAATCAGACAGACAGATATGGAACAGGAAAAGTGTTGGCGCCCAGTTGATTATTTGCTTAAATTGGAAAGTTTTGGTTCAACGCTGGGAAAATACAAAATCTCACCAAGTATTTCTGTCTACTTCCTAATGCAAATGTGTTACTGCACATGAAATAAAACAAAACTACCTTACAAGTAACTTTACAGTAAGATATAGGAGTTTTTTTAAATTAAGTCCTTCATATTGATGAAAAAGCTCAAGTTGCCCTGGGAGATTCTCACAATAACAAATTTTCCTTTAAATTGTCCAAGATAAATGATAATGTTGTTTTGAAACCATTTTCTAGTAATATAATGGCATTAATAATTCAAGAACACACTTTTAAAGGCCAGTAAACTTTAAATTAATATGAACGTTTAACACTGAAACTGGAAGACATTAAAAATATCCAAAATAAATAAACAAAACAGAAAAAAAAATTAATTTTGAAGTCTCTATAAACAAAATGTTCCTTTAAAAAAGGCCTAGTGAGACCAATGAAGACTTTTATCATAGAAAAAGAGAAAAGTAATAAATCATGCAAATGGAAATTATTGAGCTCGGTTTAATTTATTATACGTGATTTATTGCGCCAGACTTCCTTATTTCAAGCGTACTAAGATATTTGCTGTGGAAACTGGAGAAAAATAATTAGTAATGTTTTGTGTTTTTGCAGAGAATCGTTCACAGCTCCGTATGAGCGACTCTTAAAACGGTTCAAAAGTCTTTGCATTCTTCAGCGAAGATAACCGAGACGTCAAACTCGGTCTGAGTCGGATAAGTGGAGAAAAGGCTGCAGCTGCATCAAACATTCGGAGCGAACACAGAAAACGACGAGCTGATTTCACCGCGGCGAACTGGAATCCGCAGGCTGACCTTCTGGATGTCTGAGAGCGAGGATTTAAATCAGGGTGATCTCACCCTCTAGCAATGTGAGCCGCTGCTTCCTCTTTGGCAGCCGAACGGCCTCTGAATAACAGATCCATGCATCCTCTCATCAGGACGAATCTGGAAAAATCCAAGGCATGTCTCCTGTGCTTCCAATGTCCAAAAGGTTTGAATTTCAAGGCTAAAAACTAATTTTAAGTTGGGAGAAATGGGAGAAAACTTTATTGTAACTGGGCCTGTGGTGAAACAAGTGGGTCTGCATGATATACGGCGTATCGGGGCTACTATAGGGAAGAAAAAAAGGAAATTTCTGACAAAATTTTGAGATTAATCTCAGAAATTTTCTTGGAAAAATACAAATTTCTGCGATTGAAAAGTCAAAATATTTTCTAGAACAAATTTCAGAAAAATTGAGATTAATCTGAAAAGATTTCTTGGAAAAACATTTCTGAGTTTAAAAAATTAAAAATATTTTGAGGCTCAAAGTTTCCAAAAGTCAAAAATGCCCAACTTTAAAATTCTGAAATTTTCATGTTTCTTGTAGCAAATTTCTGAAATTAATAAAAAAATAATAATCAAATGACGCCATGTTTGTAAAAAAAGAAAAAGTAAATTTAAGCCCAAAAAAAATCTCAGAAATTTTATAGATATAAACAAAAATGTCTTAGTTTGAAAAGTCAAAACGTTTGAGATGAATCTCAAAAATTTTCTAGATTATACTTGAACATTTTTTTTAAAGTTTCAAATGTGAAAATATTTCGACTTTTGAAAAATGTTAAAATTTGCATGTTTTGGCTGTAATTTACTCTGTTTTTTTTCCCTTTTCCATAATGACCCTTCATAGGGGCGCTGTGCTACAGGGGCGCCAAAATGAAGGTGTGACGCTTATTTCTACTCAGCATTTTCGTGTTGATCAACTGTTTTTTATGTGTAAATGATGTAATCTATAAGAAAGCCACGCCTATAAAGTGCCCACATTCACTTTAGAAGGTAGTTTTTCCCCTCACTGTTAAACTTAAGTCCTAATTACCCATTGTACCTCTGTGCCTCCTAAGATTTGCTTTCAGGTCTTTAGCTAACATTATCCTGTAAGTCGGTGAAGAGGTTTTAATGGAAATAATTCAAGCTATTTATTAGAACCAAACTGGTGTGACAGGTGCATAAATCCTTGTAAAATGTCTGTTTAAGGCGGTCAGAGTGTGAATAAAAGGTGAGACGTTTTCTTACCTGCTGCCTCCATCAGGTCGCAGCCTCTGAAACGGTAATGATGGCGGCTTCAATCACACCGTCTGTCTCCTCTCTGCATCCCATCGACTCCTCGGTCTGCCGCTCCGTGGGTGTGTCTCCTCCGAGCGGAAAGTGGAAACTCGGCCTCCTTTTCTGAGTGGGACTGCGCACAGAGGCGGGTTATTTATCTGGGAGGGAGCGCTGATAAGGTTTGTCCGCTGAAAGAGCCTTTACGTCGCGTTTTAACTCATTCTGCTGGTTTGACTCTGGAAGAACTCCGGGCAAAGTTTCCGCAAAGTCAACGGCAGCCTAGTGGTGACGAAGCGCCACCTGGTGGATTAAAACACAACTACAACTGCTTAAATACTGCAAAAGAACAAAATCCTACAAACTATTTTTGTTTAGTTTCTAGTGCAAATGTCAAAGCACATGAAACAAGACAAAACTAACTTACAAGTCAATTATATGATGGCCTAACAGGGCTATACAGAGGAGAGGAAAATATCAACCAAAAAATTCCTCTTGGAATTTCTCAATTTTAAAAATTAAAAAATATATATGCTAGAACATATCAGAAATTTTTAGATAAAAAAAGTAGGAAAAAAGGGACATTTCAATATCCTCAAATTTGAAAGGTTGTTAAATTTGCTTAAAAAAAGTTTAATATTTTTGACTTTTGAAACTCAATAAATTTCCAACTTTTTTTCTCAAAAATTTCTGAAAATGTCTGGGGCTTTTTATTCTTGCCATTTTTTTCTCAAAATGTTCTGAGATTAATCTCAATATTTTGGTGGAAATGTGCTTTTTAATTTTTTTTCTATCTACATTTTTTTTACATTACAGCAAGATGTAGGAACTGGTTTTAAGTAAATAATTTCTTAATATTGTTTAAAAATAAAGGTGACTAATTCCACTGACCCACTGAGATTAATCTCAAAACTTCTGATTTTTTCTAGCAAATGTATGTTTTTTCAAACTCAGAAATAACAAAAAAAATGTTTTCCAAATTTGATTTAATTTGTATATAATCTAAGGTGTAGATGTACTTTAAATATAAAAATTAAAGGTGCAAGGAAACTTTTGGCAAGGCACTGAAAATGTTACATGTGAAAAATCGCTAAAGGTGAGGTTAATTATGTAAAGATAAAATTTTCTACTTTATCTTCACCGAAGGCGAATCAAATGGAAATTTACCGCTAATCAACGGTTCAGAGAAGGAATCGATGCCCATATTTGGGCACAGACTCTCAGCGTCTCTGGCTTTAAACGTTTCAGCCACCAGATGGCGCCATCCGCTAAACTGGCTGATTTGGTTTAAATATTGCACACATACTTTAAAGTATTCAACCTGGCAGATGTGATACTGATTGTGACAAAATCCATAAAAATCAACAAATACAGTTTTTATTTATGTGTAAAAGACAAAAGAATGTTTATACAGTCTATACAACGATCAGTGATAATGAGACACTTCTGATCTGCTACAAAATTAGTGTAAACATTTCCTCGTCTTTATAAATGTAAAGAGTCCAGAGAGTTTACTGTAAACAGCTCCCACCTTTAACTGACTGTATATAAAACACATTAAAGGCAACCTACTAAAACAATGAGGAGACATACAACTTTAGAAACAAAGTTTTCTTTAGAGTAAGTTTGTTTTGCTCTGCACATTTTCTTTCTTTTCAGTTTAAAGAGAATTTCTGTATATTCACTCAGACACTAGAGGGCAGCGATGGGTCACGGTGCAGTTTCAGTTTTGGAAACAAGCAGTGTTGTAAAACATCTAAAACGTTACAACTTGGATGCTAATTCAGAAATGCATGTGGGCCATTGTGGAAAGAAAGGAAAGAAAGGAGGAAATTTCCACCCAAACAAATATTCAACATTTTCTAGAAAGAATTAGGAAATTTCTGGGTTTCAAAAGTTTTTGGGGTTTTTTTTCTAGAAAAACTAAAAACAAAATTCAGATTAATCTCAAAAATGTTCTAGAAAAAAACTTGAACATTTGAGTTTGGAAATTCAAAAATTTCCTAAAAGAAAATACAGAGCTTTTGAAAAAAAAAATCTCCGACATTTTTGAGGATTAACTGGGAAGTTTATGAGTTTGAAAAGTTAAAAATTCTAGAAAAAAACTCTGAAATTTTTAGATTAAAGTTAGAAAATTTCTAGAAAAAAACATGGACATTTTTGAGTATTCAAACTCAGAAATTTCATAGAAAAAGCTGAAATTTCAAGATTAATCTAATAAATTTGATAGAAAAAACATTTCTGAGTTTGAAATGTCAGAAATATGCTAGAAAATCCTCTGAAATTTTCCCGAAAAAAACTCAGAAACTTGAAATTGAAAAATTGAATATTTTCAATATTTGAAATTCAGATATTCCAAATTTTTTGTAGAAAATTTACTAAAATAATCTAAAAAATTATTTTATATTTTTCTAGCAAATTTTTAACATTTCAAACTCAAATTTTCTTGGAAAAACATGTCAATTTCTGAGTTTGTTTTTTTCTTGTAAATTTTTGACTTTTTTTAGTTTTTTGGTAGAAATTTCCTCCTCCTCCTTTTTTCTACATAGGAGGGTATTAATGTGCCTTTGTAGAAATGTCACTTTAAATGTGTAAGGGTTTAAATCCAACTAAGCTTCTCTTTTTATAGACCAACCAGAAACTAGAAGATTGTAAAAAAAAAAAAAAAAAAAAAAAAAAAAAGGATTTTTACAAATTCCCAACTAAAAATTCAATACGTTTCCAGATTTCCACAGTTTTTCCAAATCACTTTTTTTTTCACTTCTGCATATTCTGACAAACATTTAACATGATGCTGAGTTTGGCTTTCATTTAAAATTTCACTGCTCTTCTTGACATCAGCAACATTTTGGATCGGCTCTGTTTTTTTTATCTTTTGAACTCCGACATGTCAGATCTGGACTCGATCATTTCTAATGTAAAGTCTTTAAATCACAGTTTGTTATCTGTGATATGTTTATTTTCCCTGTAAAAAATCCCCCAAAGTTGGACTAACAATTATCTGGCATTTATTTTTTGGAAAAAGTTTCAGAAGCACAGATCCAATTTAAAACCGCCTTCAGAAGAAGTGAAGTGGCCCATTTTAATTTTTGAGTCTGTCATTATCTGTAATTTCTGTCTGGTTCGATGCGGTTAAGTAAAAATAATAATCATTTTCCTGACGTATTGAGGTTTTCTATCGTATTCTATCTTTTCACAGACTTTTCAAATCTCTATAGAAATTCTGAAATACCCAAAATAAATGTGGCAAGTTTGTTTATCCATGTTTGTGTTCCTAATGCTGATCAGGTCTCACCATATTTGGCTTCATTATTATTGCTCTAAAAATGTTGAAGCAAGTGTTTATTACTTTGTTTTTAGTTTCCTAGTTTATTCTTGTCTTCAGTTTCTTGTGTTTTTGTATTTATCTCTCTTACATAACTTTGTTTCTGTGTTTATTTTTAATTTTCACTCAGTATATGTTTGCCTTCTCTCACAAGCCGTGTTTCCGTTAATGTTTTTAAATTTTGAATTAGAAAAGGTTGATGGAAATGTTAAAATTTGAAACAACTTCTTAAATTTTGCAGAAAAGCGTTTTTTCCCTCTCGCTTGCAGTGGTTTGTGGCTTTTCCAAAAGAAAAAACAAACACATGAGCTAAATAAGTAGTGAATGCTCCCATCCACTGATTGGTCCGGGCCTTACCAGAGGCACGAAACTGGAAAATTTCTTGTTTTAATTTTCCAGCTCACAGGGGAGACGTTAACTCTGCTTTCTGTTTATTACAGCCATGCGTAGCGTTAACATCTGACAAAATTACGCTTTACGTAGCCTTGTAGATTCGCTCCAAACCAGCAGATGAAAACGTGACTAATTCGCTTTTTTAACCACTTTTTTATTTTTATTTTTTTTGCAAAATCTTAAAGGAGCAGTAATTTGTGTTTTCCAGGCACATGGTGCCATTTCATGACACAATAAAGTAACTCTGTTACCTTCAGTTTAGTCCAGAACAACTGAATGCCTTGAAATTGGGCCTCTGTCTCTTTAAGAAGCTCCTGCTCTTTCTGAAACTCCGCCTTCAGGAAGTCTTCACAACATGGCTCCTCTATTAACCCTTTAGCAACGTTTTACTGAGAAGTAGCTCATATGATGAGCTCAGCAGATGTGCAGGTCCACCAGGTGTTCGCTAATTGCTGCTGGCTAGTCTGAAGGAGCTGAGAGGGGGAGGAGCTGCGTCTCGAAGGCGGAGCTAGGTCCACCCAGGTGTTTTGCACAGCTGAATGGTTGAGGATTTCTCAAACACGTATGAAAGAATTAAAGCGACACTCCAGGTTTGTTTTTGGTGAGGGAATAAAATTTTAACACGAAGTAAAGCCAAAAAGTTGATTTTACAGGATGCTGCCCCTTTAAGAAAGATAATTTTGTTTTCACCTCTCTGACTCTTTCCTGACTTTTGTTAAAATTGAACTTCGATGGGAAATATAATATTATTGATTGCTGAAGGAATGTTGTGTTTTAAATGGGCCGGTCTTTAAGGTCGCTTCATTGGGTACACTGCAAAAACACAACATCGTACCAAGCATATTAGATTCTAGTGCAATTATCTTGGTACGTTGAAATAAGAAAAAATTAACAAGTAACTTTTCTGAAATACATAGGAGCTTGTTTTAAATAAATAATTCCTTAATCGTGATGAAAAAGCTATAAGTGAAATAATCTACCAGTGCACTAAGAAAAGAAAATGAAGGTCCAATTAAAAAAATATTAGTTAATTTGTTACATGTAATTGAATTAATTTTGTCAAACTTAATTTATGTTACAGCTTAATAACGTTAATATATTTACTTGGATTACTTTAAACAAATCAACTCATTTTTTTTAAGTTGAATCCCCTGTTTTCTTTTTCCAGTAATGGAACAAAATATTTTCCCTGTATTACATGTTAAAATTTCTCATTATAATTATATTTTTTAGTCAATACTAAGGAATTATTGACTTAAAATAAGCTCCTGTGTCTTCCTGAAATGTTACTTGTAAGATAGTTTTGTTTTATTTCAATTGAACTAAGATATTTGCACTGGAAACTAGACAAATACTTGTTTTTTGTCTTGTATTTTAGTAAGAAATCTCTCTTGTCTCCCTAAATAGTCACCATTTTCTGTTATAATCTGCTGACTGTCAGTTATTGACCCCAGCTGGAGAGAAAACTGCGCTCCTCTGCAGTTTGTTGTGCAACCAGAAACATTCACAATAGTTTAAGTTTGGCATCGTTGAGGGAGGCGGAGGACGATTACGGAGAAAGTACTCGCTTCATCCAGATCACA